ATAGAGGGGGGGGGAGGGTTGGAAGGAAGGCTCTGCGCTTTTCGGAGCGGTTAATATTTTTAAGAACCTCTTCTCTCCTTCATAGTAGTAAACCCGAGACTGAGACGCTCTCTGAATCATCTGAGACAGCTTTATTTGCGACCGTCACACCGGCTTCGGCTATATACTTCCCTCTCTTTCGTATCGCTTGCGATATTATATATAATAACACATGTCGTAAATGTCATTCGCAACTTTTCGATTGAACACCTTGAAAAATATATCAAGTATGACTATGTATATTCCCCGTCCGAAAATTGACATTACACTTTTACGCCGGTTGCGGAAAGTCGCATCTTGCGACCCGTCGGGGCTTTGCATACTGTTACCACAAATTCAGTCGCGGCGTGTAGGTTTTACATATTGTTTCCACAAATTCCGGCGCGCGGCACCAGGATCCCAAATGTGCTATATTTCTAACCCGGAAAGAGTACCCAAAAGTACGTTAAACTAGAGTGATACTAGAACATTCGAGATCAAGTGGTTGGAATAGAGAAAATTAGATAGCGTTATAGCAGCTCGTATGAAGACGGATGAAGAGAAAAGACCATTTCGCATATTCGTCCATTGCCGTAGCTGATGCGTGCGGGCTGTTTCGCGTCTTGCGTTTTGCGTTTTGCGTTTCTCTGTATGTAATGGGAGGTTAACTCGCGAGTTACAGCACCAAAGTTGACTCCGGTTTTGCCTTTAGCGGCGGATTAGTGCGGCTTCGCTAGGATTCACGGCGGCGCTTAATCATTTTCATTGCCCTCGGTATGCTGCCATCTCGAGAACGCGGAGGATGAGGCGTTGGGCGGTGGGGTTGGGCTTGGGCTTGGGCTTGGGGTTGGGGTTGGGGTTGAAGAGGGAAGCCGAAACTCTCAACGGCCGTCTGTCGCTGCTGCGTCGTCTACAGACGACATATAGTAGGAAGTGCTTCTGCAATCGAATTATCACATAGATGTTAGAAAAACGATATAAACTTTTAACTGGCGTGATGGTATCTCAGATAATGTTTTTCAGCTTCTCTCTTCGTTCTTCATCGACTGTTTTTCTCGCGCAACACAGCAAAATCCTAATACTTGATAAAATATCTTTCGTAATTTCTACCGAATACATTCATCGATAAAATAATCATTGGATGTAGAAAAAAAACCGTGAAATTTCTGTGAAAAATTTTATTTTATTTATGGAAAGAAACTTATAATATTTAACTTGTGTTATTATTGCACATGTGTAACGTCGATTGATCATCCTATGTTATTCAGAGTTTTATCACTACAGAGTGACATACGTGACACATATTGATAGAACTTTTTTTTTTTTCAGTTTATATGTAAACCTGTTTCCATAAAAACCAACAGAAAAAAATAATACGTTCTAGCAACATGCATCATGTATGTCGCTCTGTATAATCATACAAATTTACTCTTGAAAGACCTAGGGGTTTATGAAAAGATGTTAAAATCGGTTTCTGAGAGACACCAGTAATAAGCGGGCGCGTTTCAGCTGTCTGCGTGTTTCGTGCACACGTGGTGGCGAGTTAACTCGCGAGTTACAGCACTGCCGGTGTCTCTGATTTTGCTTTTGGTGCCGGATTAGAGAGGCTTTGCCGGGATTCAGGGTGGCGCTTAATCATTTTCATTGCTCTTGGTACATTGCCGTTCCGAGAGGTGGGTGAGCTAGAGATGGTGGCGAGGTTGAGGG